TCATCCCATATTTAGAAGATTTAACCCAGTATAAAAATTCCAAATCTCTATTAAAGGGGCTTTGTATGGAGAGCAAAAATAGTTATAATAGAAAAGTAACAAATGTTATACATTTTGCAGATAATAATGATATTTGGAAACAGGTTAAACGCTTTGCTGGAGTCAACACACAGAGACCAAATATTACACCTTCTGAGTGGGTTAACCAGTTTCAAATGCTTCACAATCCAATATTTGACAACTCTGATTTTGACAATACTGTGAAAGAATACCAGGAAAAATTGGATTTTACTTATCAAGATCCAATATTAGGTGAACTAAATGAGATTATATCAGAAGATGAAATTATGAAAGCATTAATTGAATTGAAACCTGGGAAATCACCAGGACCAGATGGTATTTCAAATGAATTTTACAGGTGGTCAAAGAATAAGGGCATTCTTCGACCACTTCTGAATAAGGATTCCAGTTTTGAAATTTGCTTTTAATGCAATATTTGACTCAGGTATTTTTCCAGACAAATGGGCTAAAGGATTTATCGTTCTTTTACATAAAAAGGTAATATAAATGACCCCAAAAATTACAGAGGAATCACGTTACTAAACCCCTAAGTAAAATTTGTACGTACACTTTGAATAACAGGCTGGTACAATTGGCAGACACTATTGGATGTGTCACATAGTACCAAGCAGGTTTTAGAAAGGGTTATTGTACCGTTGACAATATTTTCACTCTTCATGTTATAGGTACAGAAATATTTAAGTAAATCAAAAGGACGGTTCTACTGTATGTTTGTTGACTTCAGCAAGGCGTTTGATTCAGTTAATCACAACTTACTGATGTATAGACTTTGCATTGAGGGCGGTGGTGGGAAAATGTTGAATATTTTATGCATAATGAAGTCAAATCATGTGTGAAGTGCCAGTATGGTATTACAAATTATTTCCCATGTAATTCGTAAGACAAGGGTGTATGCTTAGTCTCTTTTTGTTCTCACTTTTTATAAATGAACTAAATAGTATGCTTGAAAATTCAGAGTATCGAGGAATACAAATTACACATGAGTTGATTCAAGTTAATTTATTTTCACTCTAAGACTTGTATGCTGATAATGTTGCGATATTTCGTGACACTCCCCTATTGGGCTGCAGAGACGTTTGGCAATATTAGACTCATTTTGTTAAACATGGGAAATGGCAGTAAATATGACTAAAACATAAATTATAGTTTTTAGACGTGGGGGATACTTAAAAAGGAGTGCAAAATGGTTTCTAAATGGCAATCCTGTAAATACCGTTGGATAAATATTTGGGTTTACTTATTTCAAGTAGAAACACTTGGGGGAAAGCAGTAACAACGCTTACACAACAAGCGCGAAAGGCATGTCACCATTTTTCGTATGATAAGAAAAACTTGGAGCTTTACCAATATTATTTTAAATTACTATTACTATTTGGATGGTTTCGCCGGATTTAAGTTACGGGCTGAAATATGGGGACATGGTGAATACCAGGTGATGGAAAGAGTACAGCTAAAATATTGTTGGAGTAAATATTTTGCGGGGGGGGGGGGTAAAATCATCAACACCCGATGAAGTAGTTTTGGGAGAATGTAGCAGGTTTCCAATTTTCTTGCATACTTAAAAAAATGCCCCAAATAGAGTCACTAGACAAGCATATGTTTTGGTTATTTCACTTGATAATAATGATAGGGAATCTTGGACAACAAAAGTAAAATATATATTATCTGTGCACGGGTTTGGGGAGGTATGGTTATGGCAGGGACCAGGAGATTTTGATGCATTCTTACACCTATGTATGACCAGAGCATCTGATATACTAGTATTTAAGCAAGAGTGATGGGGAGGGTGGATGTTTGTTCAAAAGAAAAGCTGCGGTCATATCAAAACATCAAAACTTCATTTAACCCAGAAGTATATTAATTGTGTAGAAGTTGATAAATTAAAAAGTGCTCTTGCTTGTATCAGGTGCTCTAGTCATAGGCTAGAAATAGAGCAGGGTAGATTTGTGGGACAAGAGGCATATCAGAGAAAACATATGAATCTCTTGAAAAAGAGGATGGACTCCACTTCGTTTTATAACTCTGACCAAATAATCCCAAAACTAACAATGTTTACATAAAGCACAAATTCTGAGACAAGAATGTATTAACATGAGGTGACCTTTGACCCCAGGAAAGAATAGTTGTGTATTTATTTTTCCATTTATTTTGTTAAAATGGGCCAGTGGTCTTTAAGTACAAATACAGATTCTTCATATGATTAGTGAAGGTTGGAGCGAATACAACCTAATAATTGCTTCAAACTCAGTGCCAACTTGGACAGAAGTTACTGATAATATAACACGTAATAGTATATTCGTTGAATTACGCGGCTACATTCATTTTTATTCAACCTGTCTTAAATCATCCCATGATCTCTATTATGGCCCCTTCCTATGTTCAAGATATTATGATTTTGTTTTGTTTTCTGATTGATTTAAATAAAAAAAGCATTAAACACAGATACAGATACAGTATTTCTGCTGTGTTCTGGTAGACCTTATACATGACGTAATTGTTATTAATAGACTCGTGACTGGAGTTTCCAATGACGTTGCGTTGCGCAGGAATAATAGTCATATGACTGAATATCAATACGCGGTACAATTTGGCTTTAACGTAGTTCCAACAATAAACGAACTATATGGACATATGAACAAACATATCCTACAGAAATCGTTGAAAATAACCACTATATCATTAAAATATCATTTACAAATTTGTGATGCCCGACTTACTTAGAACTGTACCAAATAGTGTTACCCAGCGGAAGGATATCTTGAATGTAAACATAAACAATCGACGTTCGCCATTATTGACATTTTACCAATTTGGAAGACTGCATTGGCTGATTTGTGCCGTTTTACCTTTAAATAATCTCTGCAAGTACCTGTTTTGATTTTACTATCATTCAGTCATGAAGTGGGAATACAAAGAAGAACATCCATTCGAGAAAAGGAGACAGGAGGGCGAGAAAATTAGGAAGAAGTACCCCGACAGAGTGCCTGTAAGTTGCGACCTTTGGTTCCATAGAACTACAGAACAGCCCCGTTTTCAACACGGAAGCTGGTGCATTTATTACTCGATTAACGAGATCATACATGCTATACGTTCTTGTGTCTTTGCCCTCATGCATCTACATTTTCTACTTCAAATACATCTACATTTTTGTTTGTTCTTTTCTTTTGCAAAATGTTTCTGTGTGTGACGCAAGATTTATTCTCGCGAACCTCAGCTGGCACCACTTGTAATAATGGCATGACGATGATGACAATTTTACATCGGGTCTATTTTTTCGTTGCCAACCTTACTCACGAGTTTTGTCAAATCTTATTATGCGATATCAGTTTTGAATTCTTGTTTACTTGATTTTTTTAACGACAAAAGCATAATAATTGTCTTAATAATGCGTTATTGTTTTGTTTTTGATCACCATGTTTTGATCCAAGTTCTTCACAGTGACCTTTTAGGCTTTGTTTACTTTCGTCTATTGACCTCGAAAATGTAGGTTGTTGACAACAACGCCCATGTAAACTAAACAGACAAATTTACATTTTCGGATAATCAAATAATTATTACTTAATTAGTTATTTAATTGATAATACAATTATTTTCACAAACATAACAAATCTAAGCTCATTAGCATAAAATTCAAGTATGTAAATCTGCAGCAACCTTCACAGTATTATTAATTCAAAATGGCTTCCTAGTGTTTTTAATTACCCATATGTTGTGTAGTTTTGTCAGGTTTGTGTCTGAAAATGTTTATTTTGGCTTTGTTTATTATTGTATAATGATTCCTTATTCTAAAGTGATCGGGTACAAATATCAACTGAATTAGTAGTACTTTTTCCCTGCTGTCAATTGTTGTAACATCTCCTGAGGCCCAAGTCATGCTGTAATATACATCTACAGTATATCAATGTTTGTAATTTGTTTTCCATTGAACTTTAATCCCTAAAAATATAATACTATATGATCTTTATTTATTCTGCATAAAAACACAAGCCTTTAACAGCCATTGGCAACACATATTGTATGTTAGTCAGCTTGTCTACACACCGTCTGAACTAGTAGCTTGCTTAGGCATAGACAATTGCACACTAATTATTATTTTGTTCAGTATGTCAAAAGGGGAGTTTTAGTAAAACCTCTGAAACACTT